GCAGGAATAGCAAGCTTTGCACAATAAAGCCCAACACTATCTGCTATTGTAAATCCCCTATCAGCCAAAACTAAATCTCCAGTTGAAAGTTTGTTTAAAATGCCACAATTTTCTGTTAAATATTTATCACTAACCCTACCACCCCAAGCCTTAGATATAAAAGATATAGTACATTGTGGAGTGATGCCTATAAGAAATTTAATGGTATTGTTGTGTTTATATTGTGACCAGGTGATTGCTCTAGCAGCTAGACTTGATGGTCTGTCAATAAAAATTTCAAAACAATCAATAATAACTGCTGTGTTTGCACCAAAGGAACGCTTGAAACAATTAGGCATAGTTTTTTGTATGTCCTCCCTTTCAGGCCACACTATAAATTGTCTAAGGTTGTGAGCCATATGGCGAACCCATTTCTCAAAAATTCTGCTGGCTGTTGACAGTGAAATTTTAAATCTATATGACAGATCTTGCAGTGGCAGACTAAGCCTTAATTTCATCAATGTTAGCACAAATTCCTGAAACTTGGTGAGACAATTATTGTGGTTATGATTTATAGTGCCACTACTGCTATTGAAAATAAGCATCAGTACACCATAAGAATGAATACCTGTGTAGAATTTGACTTTATCATCGTCATTAATGAAAGACTCTGGGGTAAGCTCAAAGCATAATACTTTTTCACGAAGCAAATAATTCTCACACCTTAACTGTTGCATCTCAAAAAAAAGAGAATCTATATTGACACCAATGCTGCTAGTGATAGTTTTTGTGCTATCCTTTGCATATTGATGACTAATAGCCAATTGGGAAGTGTAATCTCGAGGGGGGCGGGGTGCAAATCGAAAGTTTGAGGGGGGGGTGCAAATCAAAATCTTGAGGGGGGGTGCAAATCGAAAAGTTTGTCCCCGGGCGCCGGGAAGGGTCGCTACGCCTCTGCTTGTATTAGACGGTGTATTACAAGCTCGGAATCGTGGAGTATGTAGGCATATAGTATCTTTAGCCTCAGACCCTTGCCCTAAACCACTTTCCCTGAGGGTTGGTTGTCTTTTTAAAAAAATGTAATTTGAAATTTCTTTGCTTTTTTTTTTAATTTATATATTTTTTTAAATTACAAACATAATTTTACACACAAAATATAAATGTATTAGTAGCGTGCCCCCCTCCCCCCGGGAAAAAAAAGTCTAGAAGAAACCCTGATGGTCTGTCGGGTGACAATTGTATGTTGACATACATAGACCCCGTATGTTGACATACGAGAAAGATCATGGATGGCCTGGCACCACTCTCCGTGTCTGCCTCTATCTACAGCTCCGTGTCTGCCTCTATCTACAGCTCCGTGTCTGCCTCTATCTACAGCTCCGTGTCTGCCTCTATCTACAGCTCCGTGTCTGCCTCTATCTACAGCTCCGTGTCTGCCTCTATCTACAGCTCCGTGTCTGCCTCTATCTACAGCTCCGTGTCTGCTTCTATCTACAGCTCCGTGTCTGCCTCTATCTACAGCTCCGTGTCTGCCTCTATCTACAGCTCCGTGTCTGCCTCTATCTACAGCTCCGTGTCTGCCTCTATCTACAGCTCCGTGTCTGCCTCTATCTACAGCTCCGTGTCTGCCTCTATCTACAGCTCCGTGTCTGCCTCTATCTACAGCTCCGTGTCTGCCTCTATCTACAGCTCCGTGTCTGCCTCTATCTACAGCTCCGTGTCTGCCTCTATCTACAGCTCCGTGTCTGCTTCTATCTACAGCTCCGTCTTACCACAATACACACAACAATTTCTATTGATTTTTTCTTATCTGGGAAATAAAAGTTCATCCTCTCCAGTTTCTTATAAAGATTTTCTTCCAGGCTTTTATGTAACAACGCCTTGCGGGTCCGCGGTTTTTTTTAAATGGATGGTGGCGATTTAGTTTTGTAGGTCATGCATATGTGTGTATTTGTGTGTGTATGCTCTATTATTTTTGTGTTTTAACCTTTTTATGTGTACAGATAGGTTTGATCAATATTTAATTTACAAGAGAGTTTAAAAAATACAGTAACATGTTGTTAGATCTCTGTGGCAGATATTTTTAACGTACTACATCCATTGAGCGAAGTACATCATGAAGATACAGAAATCTGACACAGAGTTTGTGTTTTTTAGGCTACACGGAACTGCAGAAATCTGATACAAAGTGTGTTTTTTGAGCGAGCTATAGATCTAATATGTGGATACAGAAGTCTCAAAGTTTGTGTTTTTAAACGAGCTACACGGAACTGCAGAAATCTCAAAGTTTGTGCTTATTCGGCAAGCAACATGGAACTGCAGAAATCTGATACAAAGCTGCGATGCTATTCTCACACTGGATCTGCCTTGACAAAAAAAACCAACAATTTCTCTGGTTGTAACAATTATCATTTGCTGGCTGGGCGAAAATCTCTCTCATAAGTAAACATCGATTTGGAGGACATTTTTTATTCGGGCGATAAATATACCTGGATGTTGTGCTTGATTGCTCAACTCTCTTCAAAAATTAAATTGCGTCGAAAAAGCGAAAGAACAAAATAAAGAGTAGTGTTAAAGATTAAGAATCAATCATGTATATGTGTAAAACTTGTTTTTCCTTTAGACAGCCCATGTTATTATGTTGAGAAGACCAATGTAAAATGTGACTGTTTCAGAAGATTTACTTGCTTTAGGCGACGCGTGTACAATTTGTAAATTGTATGTAAATTTTGTCTATATTTTTAAACGGCTAATGTACAATATGCTTATATTTCAGAAGAAGCCTATACTAGCAGCAAAGTTACATTCTCCGATCCTATGACCAGTATTTCTTTCAGACATTTTTCTCCGGGTGGGGCACTTGAAACTTTCGGAGGGGCACACGTAAATTTCGGGGGAGGACTGACACTGGTTAAAGTATATATTATATATATATATATATATATATATATATATATATATATATATATATATATATATATATATATATATATATATATATATATATATATATATATATATATATATTTATTTATTAATATATATATTTAAATTTCGTTCAAGGGAAGGGCCAATGTATGTGCTCCCCCCCCCCCCCCCACACACAAGACGCCTGAAAGAGACAGCCCATGATGTTATCTGTTCAGCCCATGTGTGTAGCCTACATTAACTGTGGTGCACCAACGACCCCCAGAGGTTAAAAAAAAACGATCGACTGATGTGGCCTACACACGCTACACATTGAAGGTGGACACAAAACTTGCCTACATATAACTCACCCACGCTTAAACAATACCCCAAAATAGGAGTCAAACCTTTCCTCACACCCTGACTGCGACATTGGTCGACCTGACGATCGCTAGTTAACAAATTCTGATATTTTATGTTGGCATTCTATTTTATCTGTAGAATTGGGTTAGTCCGCCCACCCCTTTGCCCTCACCCCATCTGTAGAAATGTGTCCCACTTTCTCCGATACAATTACCGATGTTAGAGTGAGCAGTTCAGCATAAAATGAGATTACCTCGTTCCCTCCTAGCGGAACTGTCAGGTATTGATCTAAGGACAGAACGCAATTATCTCTGCGATAAATTAATCTTAGAAAACTTTTTCCATTCAAACCCTGCTCATTTATTTCGATACGTATACCGACAGCGTTGATACACGGGCGTTACGTGGCGCGTAGTTGCGTATCCATAAATGGAAATTGTTTATTGGCACTGCGGGTTTCGACAGTAGCATCAGTAGGTCGGGTGTCACTCGGTGCGGACCGCACCCCATCCCCATTCTTAGGCATAGTTGGTGCTTCAGATTGCGACGTCAGCGATACAACAAACAGTTAAGAATGGACGGGATGTAAGAGAGTAGGCTTCATATAATTCTTTTTTTTTTAACATCTTAAAAATGCATTTCTCGTATCAGCTTATATCTGTTTGGTTGGATGGATGTGTGTGTTCTGATAATAGATTATTTATATAAGAGTTTGAGTTTGTCCCCGGGCGCCGACCTTAGGCGGCACCAAAATGGGTTGGAGAAATAAATTGAAAGCTTGAAGGGGGGTGCAAATCGAAAGTTTTATGAGCGGGGGGTGGTTGCAAATCGAAAGTCTGAGGGGGGGGGGGGGGGGGGGTGCAAATCAAAAGTCTGGGGGGGGGGGTGCAAATCGAAAGTTTGTCCCCTGGCGCCGGGAAGGGTCGCTACGCCTCTGTTTTTGGGTGTTCTTCCATAGTTTTAGTTCCACCAAGAACAATCTGTAGGAAACCATTTTTTTTGTTGAGTTTTCTCATTTAGATGGCTTGGTGTTCCCAGCTAACGAGCCTCATCAGAACTCGGGGATAATCGGGTTAGAAATCATTCACACTATTAACTTTTATAAAGCGTTGAATGATACATTTAATTTTTTTTCAAATGCAGAATTGTACGTTTTCAATACCCCCTCCCCCACCTCACGTGGACTACATAGACTATTTTCACATTTTCACATATTTTGAAGAAAAAAAAAAAGCTGTAAGCACCAGCCTTAGCTTTAAAATGAATCGCTCACAATCATCAGAGACACGCACACACCAAGACCAGAGGAGACCCCCCCCCCACACACACACACATACACACAAATAGCCTACGCCACACACAAACTTTTCACATGTACAAACAGACGACATACATCGCAAAATGTGTGTGTGTGTGTGTGTGGGGGGGGGGGGTTCAAGCGGTCATTTTGCTTAGAATTTGTGACTGATGAGCCCGTTATGAAGTTTCATATAATTCACTTGGCTTGTCATTGAACATATTTTAAAGTTGTTTCGTCCTAAAAACTTGCGTTGTATTTTTCGAATATTTTCTCGCTTAGGCTACATCTTTTTAAAAAAAATATTAGGCCTTGGGATTATAATATATTAATTTTATTAAAGTATGCGTGTACTTATTAGCTTATGCTAAAAAAATGAAGAGCATTTGATAAACTACGTGTTTTAAACATAGATATATAATTTAAACTTACCTAATTTAAACTTTCTACTTACCTGAATGGCTCCCTGTTTGCTGATTGCGCTGGCCAGTTTGTAGGCGGGGTCATATCTAAACAAAAATAACGTAGCTACGATCACAGTAGTTAAAGCTACGGCTCGCCTCTTCCATGCTTTACCGCTAACCCATATAACCGAGCTGATATGACTTGAACTTCGATTTAAAAACGGTTCGGCAAAGTGCTCTATTTGAGATGCGCTATATCCAGATTTTGTGCAAAACATATGGATTTTTCGTATTTCGCCGTCGATAAAGTCTAATTTTTCTTGCAAAGTCATTTTTTTCCCTAGCTCTGAATGTTTGCTGCAATCTAGAGCACCTGTGTCTGCAGTCCCTGAAGCTGATGATTTATCTTTTACTTTATTTGTGCCAGCTACAGACACGCGTCTTGACAGTAAACTTGCCATCTTCGATTGATCCGCAAACCTAGTTTTCATCGTGGCAATAGGTTTGCAGTTGTGTCGTGAAAATAGTAAATGTCTTGTGCGAATAGGAGTCTGTGTTCACATTTTGTGTTATTTTACTTTACTTTCGATATCGCATAGCGATAGTAAAATTACTGAGTCAAAAAGCATGGATGGTAACAAATTGTTTTGGAAACTCGGAGCTTTCTCCAAATTTGATTTTAAAAGGTTTGGTAAGGATGCAGAACGATTACAGGTGAGTAGAATTTGACCAGATCACCTTATGTGAATTATTTATTTTAACTTGCAGAGCTTGTAGTTGTAGATAGTCCGAGTGGTGGTTAATTGCGAGACGCGAAATACGAAATTGCGAGGCGGTAAATTGCGAGAAGAAAATACTGACATAGATTCAATCTGCGAAATCAGGTAAATAGCGAGACATTTTTTGTTTCATACTTTTGGACACTTTTGGTAGTTTGTTTTTTTACCAAATGTGCGAGAAGAAAAGTTGTAAACTTGTAGGGTGTGGGGAAATTGCGAGACGCGAAAAGCGAAATGGCGAGGCGGGAAAATGCGAGAAGGTAATGCGAGACATACCTGCGGAATTAAGGGTAAATAGCGAGACACTTTTTGCGAAAAAAGTTTTTTCCTTTTTTTTTTCCATCTTTATTTATTTAAATTATTTTTTTTTGTTTTAAAATAAACAAGCATTTAGCCATACCCTTTAACACGGGTGTTGTATGTTGTTATTTTTTATCTAGATACTAAGAAGATAGATAGATCTATATCTAGATCTATCTATTTAACCCTTTCCCCGGCGACTGGGTGTAATCAACCCGAAGTCGCTTTATTATTTTGCTCATATCTTGAGTCTCGTTTTATACATTTTTCTGGGCCTCATTCCCATCTATAAGGTGGTTGGGATAAACACATTGGAGGTTGTAAATTTTAAAAATATGCGTAAAAAAAATTTTTATGAGGGTTTGAAATTTTTTTATACGGTCCCTGGCAACTGGGTGCTACACACCCGTACACAATTTTGAATGGAAAAAATATTTATAACTTATAAACTGGCTTCTAACAATTTGTTTTTTACTCATTGTGGGTTAAGTCATTGTGTTACATTTTCAAAGTTTAACTATAAATTAACAATCTGAAGGTATTTGAGTAACAAAAATATCAAACCGGATTGAAGTAATCAACTTTAGTAACAAAATAATAGAACATTAACACGTTTTAAAAATTTCCACCCCAGAGAGCACAGTTGTTAGATAAAATTAAAATAACTGGACATTTCCTTTTGCTGGCAGGGAACTTTTGTTTTCTTTGACAAAATATGGGCACCCTTTTAGTGGTGTTACATGAGTCACAGGTCCAAAACATTTGAATTCCATACTTATCGGAATTGCTTGGTATGTATTGGATAAATCTACTCCCACCTCTAAAATCAACCACTTGCTAATTAGTAATGATCTCTCCAGAAACATAACACCTTTCTAAATTTGAATGGAATATCTACCATAATGGAAGCAAATATACCATGAGCCTGATGGACTGTTAGTGTTATTGTTGTGAAGTGAATATGACCCAGAAGGTTTCTGAATTTCTTCATAGAAAATTCTGCCTTCAAAAACTTCCATAAGCAAAACTGAATCGACATACAACTAAATTATTATTCTGCAGAGTGCTAGTGTCTCCTCTTGCTTTCTCTCCATCCCTGCTAATGCAGTCAAATATTGTTTGTATTATTTTTTGTATTCATGCACAGAAGAAATATTTAGGGTCAGGCTGTTTATAAATTTCCTGGGATTAGCACTTCAGGCAGTGGTCTAGTGTATTGTTACTTTGTCTTTCCTGAAAATATTTCTTTTTCTTCACTTTGCACCAGCCGTTTCATTTCATTATGAGTGCCAACTGTTGACACATTATTGATAGTTGAAATGCAGTATATTGGGTAGACCTCGTCATCAGAGCTGCTTGATACTGATGGCTACCATTCTTCATCTTCTACCTCTGATACTAATAGTTCAGACTCAAAACTTGTTGGTCATTTTCACCTGCTATACTAAAACTGGCAAATATATTCCTTTATCATTAGCACTTGAGTTTAGACAAAAACGTTCAAGACTTGTTTCTGTTGTGTTCTCAATAACGTTTGTGATTATTTATAAACCTTACTCTCAGGGTCACAACCTATAGAACACCCACCCCACTCCCAGTTTGATCAATTGATTGCCCAGTATTAACTTCCAAGCAGCATTACAAAGTTGTTTTGCCTTTTTGTCCTCATTCGTACTCCTAATGAGGTTAATGTCAAGTTACTCTGAAAGGCTTGAATGTCTCTATCTACATTCCAGAGCTCCCAAAAAGAGTACAAATCACTATATATGTCCTCCCACAGGCAATCTTACCCCTGCATTTCATTAACCTATTGTAACTCTAAACTACAGTTCTGTCTGTAACTGCAAGTCAGAGCTCCAGCAAAGAGTATAAATCACTACATGTGTCCACCCACAGGTTAACTCTTGCTTGAGAATCCCATCAACCTGTAGTATCATATTGCAGCTCTCCCATTGACAACAACATGTCTTGTGTTCCCCATGGCCTCTGTGCCCTGAATACCTCAACTGTGTCAGTATTGTTACCCACCCCACAATGAATAAAGAAAAGAATTTACTATAAGAAAGTCATTGGGTGTGATCCACCCAGTTGCCGGGGACAGGGTACCAAATATGTTGCCGGGGAAAGGGTTAAAAATCCTAACATCGTTGCTGTGCTACTGTCATCGCCCGCTCTTATTAGCGAGAGGAAAAATTCCGTCTCAGTCGGCATTAATTTAAAAATCTAGCCCGCTCATGTTTATACAAACGTGAGCTGTGTCATTGTGAATTGGTATAATCTTGTCAGCAGGACAGATATTTTGCAACATCTATTTATGGATTTTTGTACTTGCAAAAAGTGTAAAAGTATAAACAATTCTAAAAAGTGCAATTAATTTTTTTATTAAGTAATTTTAATTACAAACAAAATTTACAAACAAAATCTTCTGAAACAGTCCTCAAACACACCTCGTGACACCATCTTTCACACATAGTACACCCAACCCAGTTCATTAGACTCCCATTTATACATTTTTCTTTTGCTACTTCTTCCAATCCACATTCACAACATTTCACATTCTCATCACAGTTGACCTCCTCGTTCATCCCACAAACAACACTGGCACCCATGTTCTCATCATCCGCACGCTCGACATCTGTTTTCCGTTTTTTATAATTTGTATTTTTTATCATTTCTGTAATTTTGGCAATGTCTTGCTCATTGTTGTCACCAGCAGTTGAGTTTTTTTAAAACATCGATATTTTCCCAAAATCTTGTCTAATTTCGGTCAAAATAGAGTATTTTAATCAATTCCTATTACAATGTATTAAAACAGTTTTCTAAAACGCGAAAAAACGTCTAAAATTCTTTTTCTAACATTGCTTTTTTATAGTGTGACTTCACATCTAACCCCCCCCCCCTCCTCCCCCTCATCACACATCGTCATAAAATTACAGACCCCCCCCCCCCCTACGAGTGTGACGTCATTTATGGAAGACCCCAAATAACACCACCACCAAAACCAAAAAATTCAGATAAGTTCAACTTGGTTTTAAAAATATTTGAAGTAGGCCCATAGCTTACGATATAGCACGAGCAACTGATAATATCGGTGACGTCACTTTATTTTGTTGTATCCAAATGATGTAGGCATTTCCTTGTGCTTAGATTTATATAGTAAAAAAAGCTAGAAAAAAATGTAGGCGGCGGCTATAATACAAAATTTCTATGCAACAATAGCAAATATGTTTGCGGCGGCAGCGGATCCGGGCACGGCGATCTTCAAAGACGGTAAATCAGGCGGCCTCGGCGTTCCACACAAAAGAAAGAAGTTGATCTATCGTCGGCGGTATTTCCGTCGGTTTCGAACTAGGTGGTATTCTAAGTCGACACAAAAGATGGGGGGAGTTGACAAATCATCAGTATGTCTAGCAACGGAAAAATCGGAAGTTTTAACAATGTAAACGAAACGTCTTTGAAGTCTGGACCAAATACCAATGAAAATCGGGTGCGGTAAATTTTTCGCAGAAATCCTCGCATTTCAACACCACCCAGCGTAAGTATCGGGTTGTGGTAAAATGCGAGACAAAAAAGTCACGTGGCCGACCGTTTTCGCGCCCTTCTCGCATTTTCCCGCCTCGCCATTTCGCCTTTCGCGTCTCGCAATTTCCCCACACCCAGATCTAATCTAGATCTAGGGTATAGTCGTTGAGTAATACTGACTGTATAGTGTATAGTATACAAGTTGTTTGGTTTGCAATACAATATGAATACAAGTTGTATAAAATGTATTGTGAACCAAACAACTAGAATAGAGCTATAGCACAGTGATGTTCAAAGGCAATATAAATCGTGCGGCTTCCGTGTTCTTTTGTGTTCAGCTTGCATTTACCACCAAACCTTTTTAAGTTTCACTTAACTAAATAAATTCCTAATGTTTTATTTTAAACATAATTTAAAATTTCCACCGACAGAGAGCTTGAATAGTTGAAAGATTTTTTGCTGTATTTTTAAAACATTTATGATTAACCTTATGTTTGTGTGTTTTTATTTTACTTTTATACAAATTAGATATAATAGTGGTTTCAATTAAAACTTTATGATTTTATGCTTTTGTTGTATTTGACTTTAAACATATTTTTTTTTCTGTGTTATTAAAACATTGCTGTTTATCCTCAATTTGTGTGTTGATGTCATGATTTTAACAGAATTATACCTCCCCCCCCTCCCCAACGTCTCTCATGGTCACAAAAAGTGGGACCCAACACAAAAAATGTCATACCTCACCATACCAGTACCACCCATCTCAAAACTATAAATCGCAACAAAACAAAATTACTAAGATTGGTCTTTTCGCTGAAGTCGGTCAAAGTTGAGAATGCCTATTTTAAAATTTATTGTAATAGAGACATTTTTTTTACTAATGTGAAGCAACATCTTAAATTAAGTTTCTTACATTATTTTTAAAGAGTGTTATCACAATTTCTAACCCTGCACTTTGGAGTGTAACATTATTTATGAACGACCCTAATAAAAAAAATAGCACCTTTGGGAAGCGAGCGATGTAGTGAACAGAGTTCGTGAACCCTAGGACTAGTAGGCATTGCAACTTATCTATCTATATATATAAAAAGCAATGTATGTCCTTCTGTTTGTTTGTTTGTATTTTATGCATTACTACACCTTTCATCCGATCGGCATGAAACTTTGGGAAGCTGTTGAGGATACCCCTACAAAGTTTTCTGCGGGATATATACAGTATTTAAAAGTCAATTGCAGTTTGACACGGTTCATCCGAGTGCCTTTAAACTTTGGGGAGTTCAAGAGAATATTCCTGAGAAGGTTACAGTTTAGTTTAAACAGTGCCAAAGACTATGCATAAGATTGGGTTTAATAGGAATTCACATTATCAGACGCATTTGCAGGCACACCGGTAAGCTGCGATTTGGCTCCCACGACATCCTATGAGCACTATTGTGCCTACATTAGTTTTAAAGAGCACCCTACAATAATGACAAGCGGCACACAACATTTGATGGTTAAACCAAGCAGGGGCCGTATGCGGCGCCCCTGCAGTAGTGTAATCAGTTGCTCATGAGAGCGCCCCGACACTTAGGTGGTTAGTGATTACCGTTGATATTACGGTGAGTAATGTACGCTCAAGGCTTTCATATAGCACGCCCCATGGTGGTTTACATTTAAATAACTGTTTAGAAAACAAGAATATAGGATTGGTAAAGCATTGATGAAACCCTTCAGATATATTTCGTCAGGCTTTATTTGCCTTTATGCATTACTACACCTTTATTCAATCACCATGAAACGTTTGGAAATTGTTGAGAATACTCCTGGGGAGGTTTCTGCGAAAAAAAATTGAATTTCGCACGGGCGGCGCCTTGGCAGGGTGCGATTCGGCGCCCCGGGCTATCCCGTGAACGCTATGGCGCCTACGAGTGTTTTTAACAGTGCTATAGACTATGGATAAAATGGGGCGTTATATTCATTCACTAAATTGAATCAGGCGCTTTCGCCGGCCCCTGGCAGGGTGCGATTGGCCCGGGGCTATCCTCAGACTTTCTTCTAACCCCTGCGGCAACGCGCGGGGACGGGCACGCTAGTACTTAATATTTAGACCTTGTGCAAACATTACCGAAATTAATAAATCTTTATATCAGTTAGGGCCTAACACACCATGTTGTTGAAATAGTAAATTGAAGGAAGTTTTGAGAGGTCGACTAAATTTTTGTCGACGTCCACATGGGAGGGGTGGGGTACGACGAAAGTGGACGCGTGTGGTTGGCGGGAGAGGTCAATGATCCGAAACTTTTGTGGATTTTATTTAGATGAAGCTTATTTATTTTTGTGTTAAAATCTAGGTAAAGGGGCAGTAGTAAGGGTGGCCTTTGATTGCCAACATCGGTAAAATCTCTGCGAGGGGCGAAATTTGTGAGCTTCATATCCTCATTGTAAATTGAAGATAGCCAACAAGCTTTCAGTAGATCTAGGGCATTCAGTGGTTTAGTCCAGCGAATATTCTGGGGGACTACATCATATCGAATAACTAGATCTATTAACTTGTATAAATTAAATATTAACTGAACCATCATTTTATTTTTCTCATCATTTTATTTTATTAGTGGTTAGTAGGCCCTATATCAAGTAGATCTGACTATACTATCTAGATATTTAATTATATATCTAAATAGAAAATATTAATATTCCGGATTGTCGTTAGGCCTAAACAAATTAATAAAATATTGTGTCCAGCGAGTTCGCGTTTTATGTAATCTGGTTGTTTAGGCCAAGTACTAGGTTAGTTAAGTTTAAGATCTAGAATCTAGTACATTGTATAATTCTATACTAGAATCTAGATCTATATCTAGTTTTTTTAGCCTAATTGATGGATTCGGGAAGTGTTTAACCATTTAATTAATTTTTAAATTCGGGTATTTCTACCTAGATCTAGATTCTAAGTATTCTAAGTACCTAGACTTAGTCCGATCACTAAGGCCTATGGGTTTGTCGGTTTGTTTCGCCACATCGAGGTTCGTAGTATTACCATTAGCTCGCAACTCACGGTTCACATTTTACCTGATGTGTTTTTCGGCGGTACATTTTTAGTTCGCACTGTACCCAACACTTTAAATGAATCCGGCGTACAAGGAGTCGATGTTCAATCAACAATACTGAAAACCAGACGTTGTTTAATGATCCCTATTTTATTTTCCATAATATATTCTAAAAACAAAAATGACTAGAAAACTAGATCTAGATTTTATTAGAGATAAAATAGATAAATCTAGGTCTAGGCTAAATCTCAGAAATTTTTCTTGCCTTGAGGCCTGAGATTAATCAAGATACTATTCAATTCAATTCAAGTATTCACTATTCACAAGTATTCAGAGACCAGAGATAAGCCCCAGACTATCAGGACCAAGAGGCATAGACAAGTAACTAACTAGTATTACTAATAGTACTATGATTGAACTTTAGTTAAATAAATGGTAAGTTATCATGTTATGAACTTATGTGCATTCATTTATTTTTTTTCATGTTTATCTAGATCAAAATAAAATATTAGTCTATCTAAAATAGTTCTAGATCTAGTAGTAGCCTAGCTCAATGAGATGCACACATTACTATTAAAATTTCATATTTTTTTCAGTGCAATGGCAATGGATGAATTGTTTAAAAACCTACCAGTAGAATTTGTTGTCAAAAATCGACCTCCCGGTGATACGGTTTACCTATTTTCATGGGATAACGAAATAAACAAAGGTTGTTTTCTCATTATTAATAATATTATTATTACTAAGAAATGTTATCATTAGTATAAATAAATATTGCATTAAAGAATGTAAATCACTAGGAACTTCTAAAAATGTGTTAAAAATATTTTTTAGATGACTGGAGAGCAGACGGTTACCGGTGGAGACAAGGAGGTTCAAGCGCGAAAGACAACTTAGCTAGAAAGTATTTCAAAATATACACGGGGCCAGGTAGATGGAGCAGTGAATTCACACGCACTGCTATCTTTCACCCTGACCACCCTAGGACTGTCCTGATACAATACTCAGGTGACGAGACCAAGGCAGTAGACTTTGCCCATGGGAATTCAACAAAATCATCCTCACATTATGTCAGAACTCGGCCTGGCCTCCTTAGAAAAATTAAAGAGTGTGCAGGTAACGGAACGGCACAACAGTTGTTCCAAGAGCTGACCAGTGAGAGTCAGTGCAGCCCAACATCGGCTCCACGTAATAAGGAGCAGGTGCGCAACGCACTGAAAGTAAATAGACGCAAGTTGAAAAATTCAAATGATGCTTTGTACAATCTGCATGAATTTGCATATGAGACTAAGTTTGTACGCTACATCACAACCTTCCCAGATTTGACAGCAGTGATGTGGATGGATGAAAGTGTTCAAGTTTTTCAGGAGACTCTGAGAAACTCACATACTGTCCAACAGCTGTCTTACAACACATTTAATCTCGGAGATTTTTTCATCTCAGTTCTTCAGTTTTGTGAGCTTGAATTTGTGAACCCACCAGTTGTGCCCCTTGCCTTTATGGTACACAAAAAAAAGACAACCAAGGCTCATGAAATTTTTTGGCATCACATGAAATTAGCTTGCCCTGAGCTAATAGACTGCAAGCAAGTTGTAATTGTTACAGACCAAGATAGCTGTATATCTGAGGCCATCAGCTCAAGTGTCCCTCACCTGCCACAGTTCCTGTGTTGGAGTCATGTTATACAGGACTGCAAGCACTGGCTGTGTTTAAATGGACTGAATTCCTCAGATGAGATTACACATTACATAGACACTCTTCAATCGCTCTTGGAATCTACCAGTGAAGCTGCATATAAGGATGCCTTATTAACTCTTATGCCTAAATGGAACTCGCCTTTTTTGGACTATTTTGTAAAAAATATCCACAATGTTATCCATAAGTTAGGGTCCTGGGTGTTAAAAGAACATGGGTTAATAGAAATCAGTGGGAACCAGTGTGAAGCTCTTCATTCTCTTCTTAAAGTTCTTGAAGATTGGAAGGAGCCTCCCATTGATTCCATAGCACTGAGCTTGTACAGGCTTGCAGAGTTCAACAACACAGAAATCCTCAGAGGACGAAAGCTATTAGGGGAGTATCAGCTGCGACCAGACCTCCAAAGAGTGTATAATGGTGATGATTCGTCTCTAGCACCAGAGACTAATGTCCAGCAGGGCAGTGGGGCAGACAGGAAAAAATCTGCTGGACCTTCTGTGTCCCTCTCTAGTGTCAGTCCAACAAAAGTAGGGCAACAGGTAATTGAGAGACAACATGCTAGGGATTCTGTATAAGCAGTGTTGCTTGTGAAAGGATCTCAATGTGGGCTAGGATATTCATTTCTTAGCTCTGTGACCACTGCATTCTGACATCCAGAAAATAATTGAAACTGTAGATACATGAACTTTGTTTAATTTTTTTTTAATTTAAAATGTTTTTTTTTTTTTTTTATTGTTTTTACTAAGATGCAATTCAAACTCATTGGTTCAATTTTTTAAATACATATTTTAAGCTACCTAATGCTATAAATGTTGTATAAGTCAGTGGTTTAATTCCCCTTGTAACTTAAAATTTGTAATACTATTGTACTGACATAGAAATGAAGATTCTTATTTTGTTTTTGCCACTAGTTTTACCAAATAATACTCCTGAGATATTAAACATTCATGATAGCAGACAAATTACAATTCATTATATAACACTTACTATGCACTGTTTTATTGCTGATTATTTGGTCTCTTGTTATTGATTCTGTTGATTTGACTTGCATTTAATTAGTTGCTAAAGAAAAAATAAACTTTCCAGGTGATTAAACAGAGACCTGCAGCTCAAGATTCTAGGGTTGAGTCCAAGCCAGCAGCTACAAGTTCCAAGACCAGTGATATCCCAGCTGGTCAAAATAAAAACAAAAAGAAGAAGAAAAAAACAGACGCCCAGCTTGCTGCCGTCAAAGATGAAGAGGTGACACACTCATTACTGATGTTCTAAACACTAGTCTATACTCTTGTTACAGCTATGTTAATAGGCCTTAGTCTATACACTCATTACAATTGTTGTCTACACTAGTCTATTCATCCCTTACTGCTGTGTTACAGGGACTAGTCAATACATCCATTACAACTGTATAGACAGTAGTCTATATAACCATTACAATTTACACCCATTACAACTGTTAAAGACACTAATCTATACATTCACTGCTACTGTGTTTTTGACACTAGTCTATAAACCTAAAAGTATTACAGCTTTTTATCTAGTCTGGTCCTTTGTCTTTATGAAGATGCCGTAACGTTCACTTTGTTAAGAACCAATGCTATAAGAAAAAAGATTTTATTTTAAAAAAAAAGATGAACTGGTAGATCTATATAAAAGATGTATAAATCAAAATGGTGTTATTTAACTTATTATAAGCCTGGGTTTGATTTTGAAACTTGATTGCTAACAAAAATGTATTGTGCTATGATGTTTTACAGATCAGCTTATATTTGTTTTATTCTGAATTTTTTATCTTAGATAAGACACTTAAGAAATAAGTATCACATCCACACAAATGGCACAGATGTACCAGATCCACTAAGGGATTTTGATGAGCTGAAGACTGTGTATGGTGTCAGTGAAGTTATTCTACACAACATAGAGAAGTTGGGCTACAAGGAACCAACTGGTATCCAGCGACAAGCCATTCCAGTTCTGTTACAGGTCTGGGGGATTTTGGCTTTGCTAATATTTACAAGTGTTTTCTTTAGTTATCTAAATTTAGATCGAAGAATATTTCAAATACAGTGGTGTACAGTTGGTTGGACAACTAGTTGATCTGACTATTGCTGTCAGACAGAATCCAAAATAATAGAAACAAATCCTTTTACATAAGTCTTATATATTTTGCATATTTGGATGGCATACCTTTTAACAACCATCAGTTAACATGAGAGAGTACCACTTGGTTAAATAGAGCGTAATTTAAAGCCTTATAAATAATGGGCTGCTTCGATATATTTTCATTGTAAGTTTGGAAATTATACTAGCGACGCCTACTGAGAGATTTTACGATAATATGCTTGAAAGAATCTCTTAATGTTCTTGTAGGGTCGTGATTTGATGGCTTGTGCACCCACTGGCTGTGGAAAGACAGCAGCTTTCATTATCCCAATACTACATCACCTGAAGGAGCCCCAGGGTGGGGGATTTCGTGCTCTGGCTCTAGCCCCCACCAGGGAGCTGGCCAAACAGGTGTGTATGCTACATGTTATTTTCTGCCTGTAATATAAGTATGCCTCCTTCAAGTTTTTATCATTTTGTTTTTGTTTGTCAGATTTTGAGGGAGTTTAGGAAACTGTCCAAAGGCTCAGGACTTAGGAGCTGCTACATTGAGAAAGAAATATCAGCTATAAAGAAATCTCAGCAAAGTTTTGGTGAGCTGCATATTGGATTTTTAGTTGAATTGATAGATTAATCCATGTAATATATTTAAGTTTACAGGTCAGGATTATACTTTGCTAACTGTTGAGCTTACTCTGTTATGGCTTAATCATAATCTTTTTTTTTATTTGTTCCACCAGACATTTTGGTGACAACTCCTAACAGGCTTGTGTACATGTTACAGCAAGATCCCCCACTGATATCTGTCAGCAAGTAGGCAAATGTTTTCTAGATTCTAACTCTTGCTTGGTTTGTTCATATGTTAGCAAGTAGGCAAATGTTTTCTAGATTCTAACTCTTGCTTGGTTTGTTCATACGTAAGCAAGTAGGCAAATGTTTTCTAGATTCTAACTCTTGCTTGGTTTGTTCATACGTAAGCAAGTAGGCAAATGTTTTCTAGATTCTAACGCTTGGTTTGTTCATATGTTAGCAAGTAGGCAAATGTTTTCTAGATTCTAACTCTTGCTTGGTTTGTTAATGTTAGCAAGTAGGCAAATGTTTTCTAGATTCTAACGCTTGGTTTGTTCATATGTTAGCAAGTAGGCAAATGTTTTCTAGATTCTAACTCTTGCTTGGTTTGTTAATGTTAGCAAGTAGGCAAATATTTTCTAGATTATAACTCTTGCTTGGTTTGTTCATATGTTAGCAAGTAGGCAAATGTTTTCTAGATTCCAACACTTGCTTGGTTTGTTCATATGTTAGCAAGTAGGCAAATGTTTTCTATATTATAACTCTTGCTTGGTTTGTTCATATGTTAGCAAGTAGGCAAATGTTTTCTAGATTCTAACTCTTGCTTGGTTTGTTCACGTGTTAGCAAGTAGGCAAATGTTTTCTAGATTCTAACTCTTGCTTGGTTTGTTCATATGTTAGCAAGTAGGCAAATGTTTTCTAGATTCTAACTCTTGCTTGGTTTGTTCATATGTTAGCAAGTAGGCAGATGTTTTGTAGATTATAACTTGTGTGTTTATATTTTTGTTTTGTCATGTTAAAGCGTCATGCACAGAAATCTTAGAACCAAATTGACTGACAATTTTCTTTTTCCCCCAAGTGTTGAGTGGCTGATTGTTGATGAATCAGACAAACTCTTTGAGACAGGAAAGAATGGCTTTAGAGACCAGGTACAGTTGTTTTAATAAGTTGCAACAACAGGCTCAACAGTTCTTTACAATACCTCCTCACCCTCGTCAACTTCTACAACAGTTCTACAACTTGTCAACTTAAACAGAAAATAATCTTTCTAAATCTACCATAGTTTCCTATTTTATTTTGTCCAAACATTTCTAAAAATCTTACAGCCGTTTATATTTGACATTGTTTATATCCAGTAATGTAATTATTTCCATCAAATATTGAAATAATAATTGTTTATATCCAGTATTGTAAATGTAATTATTTCCATCAAATATTGAAATAATGATTGTTTATATCCAGTATTGTAATTATTTCCATCAAATATTGAAATAATATTAATAATTGTGTATATCAAGTATTGTAATTATTTCTATCCAATCTTGAAATAATAATTGTTTATATTCAATATACCTCAAAGTTTTCCAGCTAAAACTGTTTCAAAAGTCATGTCTTGTTTACTTTGACCCATTCATTATCACAAATTCCTATGCTTGATATTATTAGAAAGACCTATGACCAAATAATTTGATATTCCATTTCAATGAGCCCTATTGTATCAACAGCTAGGTGCCATTTACAAAGCCTGCAGTTCTAGTAAACTCCACCGTGCCATGTTCAGTGCCACATTTGCCCAAGATGTAGAGGAGTGGTGTAAGCTGAGCTTAGATAATGTCATACAAGTTCACATTGGGGCCAAGTAAGTGTCTGTCGTAAACAAATATTTATCTAGCTAAATAACTTTAACTTGGCTATTCGAAGTTATGTCAAAAGCCTTGTTGATAGTATGAAATAGAACATAACATTGCTGTATTGTAAATATCAAAGCTGATAGTTGTATCCTCTGGACAGGAACACAGCAGTAAACACAGTGGAACAGCAACTCCTGTTTACAGGTGATGAAGAGGGCAAACTGATAGCATTTAGGAATTTAATAGCAGAGGTCTGTATACACTTATGTCCTTAACCAAATGGCTCTTTATGCTCTAACTCTTGAACATTACTTGCATTTATTTAGAATTTCCTATTTCATGACAAAATTTGTACACTCTGTGCTTGCTAACCAAAAGTTGTGAGTTTAGAGACCATTGAGTGTTTCTGGACTAAACTGCCCATCATGGCCAAACCAGGTACAGATTAAACCCTGGTCAAGAAGACAGTTTGTAATGTCTGTTTTATCTCCACTCCTCAGGGAATATCCCCTCCAGTGCTTGTGTTGTTAGCTTTTCTCTCCACTCCTCAGGGAATATCCCCTCCAGTGCTTGTGTTTGTCCAGTCTAAAGAGAGAGCCAAGCACCTGTACACTGAACTCATGTATGACAACATCAACATTGATGTCATCCACGCGGACAGGCCGCAGGACCAGAGGGACGCTGTCATCAAAAACTTCCGCATTGGTCAGACCTGGGTGTTGATCTGTACAGAGCTCATGGGCAGGGGTATTGACTTTAAGGGAGTCAATTTAGTCATCAACTATGACTTCCCCACCAGTGCTGTCAACTATATCCATAGAGTTGGTAAGATTTGGGACACTAGTTTTAGAAGCATTTAGTTCAATGAATACCTGGAATGTTTTCAGCATAATGCAAAAGGGTTTTTAAAAATTGTTTTATTGGTTTTATGGTATTTGTAACCATTGTTTATTATTTTACCATAACTGTGAGTCAGTATTAAGAAGATGATCTTGAGCTGCATACTTTTGTATTGTTTAGGTCGTACTGGACGTGCTGGCAGACCAGGCAAGGCCATCACATTTTTCACAGAGGCTGACAAAACCAACTTGAGAAGGTGATTTTAAGGCTTATTATCTGGACAAAAATGGTTCAGCCTACACACATTTCATGACTTCCTTTTAAAGATGGTTTTTTTGTTATACTTTACAAAGAAATAAATATCCATAGTTTATGAATTAGCTTTATCTAGTGAAATGTGGCTTTAAGTTATTATAAAAAGACAAATGATTTATTTATAAACTTGTAAAATAATGAAAAAAATTTGCTTACCGTACAACACAACATAATGGCCTAAATAAATGTTTCTCTCCAGCATAGCAAACATGATCAAGCAGGCTGGATGTCCAGTTCCTGAGTACATGATAGCCATTAAAAAACCTAGCAGGTAGCATATGCACAATTCTAACATTACTAATTAAAAGAGCATTGACATTACCTCTGTTAGAGACAAAAATGTGTTTTTATTCATAACTCCCAAAAGTTGTTTTTTTTTTTTTAAATTTTTATTTGCTTATTGTATTACAAAGTCAAGTTACCCTTATGAATCTGATGGTGAATAGGAAAGCAGAATTAGAGTTCACCTTTTTCTGGGACTTCTTCATTGGAATGAATAGTGTGGTCAGTTTTATACCCAGTCATATTAACGTTCCCTAACTTAAAACAAGTTCCTTTCTTCATAACTGGCTGGACTTAAAGACATCCTACAGACTTGAGTCTGTACTATTGGGTACATGCCACATCATCCTATTAATCTATACAATATCTATACATTTCTAATCCTTTTGACAGATATATTGTGTAATTCTCTATTAAGGTTGTTGAATAATGTTGTTATTGTTTAACCATGGACAGAAAAGAAAGGCGAAAGTTAGCCACCCATGTGCCAGAGCGTAAACAAATCCTTACTATGGACCCCAGGGAGTACGAGAGGTTACAGCGTAAAAGGTATGCTATCTTTGGTTATTACTATCTTTGTGTCATTGGTATCAGATAGGTTTTACCTTTTACCAAGGTTGTGTTGAACTGATGTGTTTAGACCTTAGAGCATGTGTTTGTGATGGTGCAGCTTTCTTGTTTTGTTTTGTCCTCAGTAATTAGATGAAAAGACTATAAGCAATTGTTTATCAATGACTGAAAGAAAGAGTTTATTATTATTTCAGAAAATTTAGCCACAAAAAGAAGTCGAAACCAGCCAAAAAGCCAAAGACTGAAAGCTGAACTCTGTTACACTGATGTTATTTGGATGCGTATAGTTTTAAAATTGATATAGCAATTTCCAATGTTGAATAAAATTTTAATCTGCAAATGGATTAAGTTAAATTCAATTTTAGGTGTGTCAAGTGGAATCAATCTCTGTGTTTAGAATTCCTTCAAAACGTGGCAATTCATTACTGTTGCCAAGGTCTAGTGCAAGGAGTTTTCAAAACAATGTACTTTTGTTGTGGGTCTTATCCAAGTTAAAAAAAAAATTCATTTAGTAAAAACACTTGAAGAAATAGTTAGGTGGCATATATATACAGATTTTCCAGTTGTGTGTGAAATTTAGCCTCTTGACCATGATTAGCCAACCTTTGGTTGTTCCACATCCAGAGTTTCTTCCAGGCATCTTATCTACTCTTCCCCCCCCCCCCCCCCCCCGAACGAAATGGAATTTATATGGTAAACATACTTGCACCAGTGTCCGCCTACCCCGGAAAATGTTGACCCCCCCCCCCCCCCCCCGAGAAAAAAGTCTAGAAGAAACACTGTTGACATCTTGTTTGGGTGCGAGTATCTTTATGACACCTGTTTTATACATACAGGTGTTGGGTTTTTTATTTGCCTGTCTCATAAAAAATTATGGGGTCGAATATAAACCTACGGATATAAATCAACCGACCAAAATACTATAGGTCACTCCAGTAATTGCAAATTACACCAGCAGGTCAACATACAGCTGTAACCTTTGACACCCAGTGACCTTCTTTACAACCAATGTTAGGTAAGGAATGTACCACCTGATACAAGAAACTAGATCTACATAGCCAAGTACTCGAAAGGCTACTTTAAAATTCTAGTTGATTTTTTTTTGTAAATTTATTTTTTATCTCAATCCCTTTCAAGTGACGAAGGACTTGTAGCCTGATGACCAGAGTTACAATCTAAAAACTATTCTGATTTCCTTGAACTTGAAGGATATTAGTGTCAACAATAGTGGACTCCTTTTCGTTTTTTTCTATAAAGAACAATCCCTGTCATTGTCACATGAATGTAAACAAGCCTAGCATGGCATGGGAAAGAAGTGGGTAGGTCTATACATAACATGAAAATTCTAGAGAAGACCATTCAAACACATCTTTTTGTAGACAGAATAGCAAAAAAAAATTAAATAGTCATCCGTAAATGAGGTACTAGTTTTACCCCCCATACCATTACACCTCAGCCCCTTCTCAAAATTTTTAACGCGTGAGCTTGTTTTCTAAAACTGAGTAATTTAAATGTAAACAAAGCAGACGCTATATTATTGGATCAAAATTGTTGGGGCGTGGGTTTGTCCACACTACCGCCCAGACAACCCCCCCCCCCCTGGGCTTGAGGTATGAAAACTGAGTGTACGTTAACCACCCTCCGTAATGATACGGTAGTACAGTCTATATTTCGACGACCATCGTATCCATAGTGTAATGCACTCTTTGCAACAAAAGTGGGCGTCATAGTGCTTACAGGGATGCCCGTGGCGCCCTGGGTCACTCCACCGCCGGGGCTCCGGCGAATGCGCCTGTCTGGTGCATTTATACCGTTGAATTGTGTAGTATCCCTGATCTTCTAAGTAGGACGCCCAAGCAACGAAAACCAAGTGCTAAGATAGCCGCTCGGGAACTCTCATCCTTCTTTTATTTGTGTATACCGTCGACCTATATAGAACCTTCCCAAGAGTATTCTCTTTAACTCCCCAAAGTTTCATGACAATCAGATGAAATGTGCAATAATGCAAAAAGATACACATTTTTATATAGCCTATATAGATTACAAAGTGGGTTATATACAGTGACAGATCAGCAAGTCACCGTGATTGATTTAGAATAACGATTGTCGATTATTGGGGGAGGAGGGGGGGGGGGGGTGTTAGAGTCCTAATATAGTTTGGCGGCTTATGATGAATGGGGAGTAGAGAGATGAGATTTGTCTAATCTAAGGTGTAGACCCTCACACATTGTTCTACGGACCACTGGAAGGTATCGTTACAAAACACCATAGACCTACTCTAGACAGCATGAAAGTTACAGGACACGATCCTGGACACCATTACAAGACCATACCACAGGAACAACAACAACTTTATCACAAGCTCAGGTTTTAGTTAAACGCTACAAAATTTTAGTCTTCACTTAGGGGTCATCCATAAATGACGTCACGCTTTTTTTGACGATTTTTACCTCCCCCCTCCCCTCCGTCACACGTCGTCACAAAAAAGTCAGACCCCTTCCCCTAAAATGACGTCACACCTCAGCCTACAACCTCCCTCAAAATTTCTATTTAATTTTTCTTACAACATCGATATTTTTCCAAAACCTTGTCAGAACTCTGTCAACATAGAGTATTTTGATCAATCCCTATTACAATTTATTAAAACCGTTTTCTAAAACGCGAAATAACGGCTAAAACTCGTTTTCTAATATTGCTTTTTTTATTATACAAAAAAAGTGACGTCACACAATCTCCCCCCCCCCCCTCTTCCTCATCACACGCCGTCACAAAATTACGGACCCCCCCTCCACCCTACGAGTGTGACGTCATTTATGGACGACCCCTTACCAAAAGGGGCAACAAGCCTACACTACGTATTCAAGGCTACATAGGTTACATCTCTCTTGTGTCTGTGATGGTTCGTCCATATACGACGTTAACTTTAGATGGGAGAGAGGGGGTAGGACTTAAATGACGATGTGTGACGTGGGGAAGAAGTTCAGAAAGTGTAACGACACAAATTTGCATGTTAATTGCGAATGTCAGAAAATAGTTTTAGCCATTATTTCGGTTTTTTGAGTGTTAAATATTCTAAAAAAAATGTAATAGAATTTTATCAATATAGGCCTACTCAAAGTTACACGAGCCCGGAAAATATTTCATGGTTGTATGTTAAAGTTGACGTTATTTACGAGGTTGATCTGTCCTTTTTTGGGTGGGGGGGGGGGAGGGTAAAATACTTTTTGAAGAATGACGTTCTTCCTGGATGGCCCCTAAGAGTAATACGCAGTGTTTCTTCCAGGCATCTCTTTCAGGGGGGGGGGGGGGGGAGAATGAGTTTACCGTCCCCGAACGAAATGGAACTTATATAGAAAATATTTACTTTTTACAATGTCCGCCCCTCCTTTCCTCCCCCCCCCCCCGGAGAAAAAAGTCTGGAAGAAACACTGCTAATACGGCATTTGCTAGCTGCCTATCTGAAATAAATCGACGAGATCTTAACCCATGTCCACACTGATCAGCTTTTGCCTTTTATTTACTAACCTTATCAAAGCTTGACCAACACACGTTACCCCAACATACACATTTCTATAATAGTGTTCATGTGTTTTAAAAGTGTGGTCAACAATACACTATCTCGCCCCCACCTTCTTCCCCCACTACACACACTGCGAGTCTGAATTCTTATCAGAGCCTATGTTGTATTGAATGACCATTTCGCGTGTCTGGGCGTCTGACATTTGATCAGTGGCAGTGACCGCTCGGCGAACAGATCATGTAACATCGTTAATTAATCTAATCAATTTCATCCCACAGTCAAACACCCGATAACCATGCCATAAATCAGCCACGCCAGATGCTAACAGAACGCGGTAAAAGATCAAACTGGCTGTCATAGCTGGAAGCGGTTTATCGATCTGCTCTGGAATCAAGCTGCCATAGATACGATTTTATCGCTCTGTTCATCGGGCGGCCCTGTGGCGCAACGGTAGCGCGTCTGACTCCAGATCAGAAGGTTGCGTGTTCAAATCACGTCGGGGTCAACCATTGTTTTTATTTACGTATATTATTATATAGAATTTAAGTTTTTGGAATTTTAATTTATTTACAGTTAGAATTTAACATTTCTCATTTGGATACAATTGTCCAGACCACACAACGTTAAGATGTTAACTTTTTTTCTCACAGCCTCTGTTTATTTATATCTGAAATGACCTGGCTGCTCCGAACATGAACAGTTTTACTGATTCATAAATAATTTTATATTCGAATAGTTAAAAACAAAATTATTTACGTTTGATCTTGTTTATGATTTCAACTATTTAAAAAGTTAAATCGATGACTTTGTAAGACTCATAAGCTAATTTTTGTCCCCTATCGGTTAGGCATGACTTCCTTGTATAATATGTCTATCTGTGATTCCAGTCTACAAGTGGCATTAGATGACCTGATGCCCACGTAAGTCAAGCACAGAAAGACTTAGAATATTGACAAACTAGTCAGGAATGCATAGAGCCTCTTTCATTTGGGGGTTTAAAAATTTTTAAAATTTTCATTGAAGTACATGAGGAAGCTCTTTATACAATTTTTTAAAATAACTTAAACTTTAAACCATTTCAAAATTTTTATCTTTAAATTATAAATTGAAACTCCTTTTTTTTCAAAATGTCAAAATAGTTTCGTTAAAACTATTTTTTCGTTTAAACTATTTTGAATGTACTTCAGCTGGAGAACCTATCCTGTAAAACAAATATTGTTTGTCGGTGGTTCATTGCGTCCAATGCATGCAAAATACTTTGAGGAACAACCTGCAATTCTCCGCATTCTACCAAAAGTCCGAAAAAACATAGTTGCACTCATTTTACACCTATGGCGATGCTTTTGCTTTGTGTAAAAATGATCTATTAATAGAAATATTTTTAAAAAATAAGATTACTTAAACAAATTACCAAACAGGTTAACATATTTGCCTAAAACTTAACTACAAAAACAAGACAGTAAGAGTCCAGGGGCGGAACTACAGTGCCGCCAGACCCCGCAATGCGGGGGGGGGGGGGGCCCAGGCCGATTGGGGGCCCAAAAATCCTGGCTAAATTATAATTTTTTTTTTAAAATTTTAAATAAAAAAAATTAGGTGGATGTCGAGTTATCTTTCTTCTACAGTTACAAACAAACACGATAGTCGGCAAACGTCTTTGAGAAAAATGCACAGACTATAGCTCGAGAGACCGCCAGACATACAGACAACTTCAAAGACGCAACCTACCGTTCTTTTTTAGTGGCGTCGATTAGGAGAACAAAAAAGCTTTGAAAATCGGGCTGGGGAAATGTTGCGGCGACTATCCTGGTCTTCTAGACGACCGGAAAAAGTAGGCGCTATT